AAAAGTCTTTTTAAACACAGGTAGAAAGTATCATTTTACACGTGTAGCAATTGAAGTCTATGAGACACGTATGATAACCTTTTCAGAATAAAATTCGTAAAATTTTTTGAGTCGCAATAATCATAGTCATAAGAAAGAGATGATCTGGCCATTTATGATACTTCTTTAATCAACTAACAATGTAGTGTATAATTAATTTAAAAATTTCATGTCACATACCTATATATATATATATATATATATATATATATATATATATATATATATATATATATATATATATATATATTTATATATATATATATATATATATATATATATATATATATATATATATATATATACATATATATATATATATATACTTATATATATACATATATATATGGCCGTGGATAGCCTACCGAAAGTCGGTAGCGGAAAAATAAAAATTATCCTACCGAAAGTTTTTTTTATTGGTTATCACATGTCAAAATAAACAATATTTGTTATACCGTAAAATGAAGATAATTTAAGATATTATTTTTAAAAAACAAAAACGTAAAAAACTTAAAAAAATTAAATAGGATTTTCCATTAAATAAATAGAAATGACTGCCACCCCATACCAAAACTCTCAGTCTATGCATGTACACTGCACAGCGCCTATCCCTATATTAGTAAATGTATGTGCTCTTCACTGCGCCTATCCCTAAGCTAGTAAATGTATGTACACTTCACTGCGCCTATCCCTAAATTAGTAAATGCATGTACATTCCTCGGTGCCTATTCCTAAATCAGTCAGTGTATAAACATTCCATTGCGTCTATTAATGCATTATGCTATTCTCAGCGTATATCCCTAAATAATTTATTCAATTAATAAGCGTAATAAAACCTGAAAAATATGGAAAAAAACAATCGAAATGAAAAAGATTTTCTTAGGAAGGCTTCGAACCCGGAACTCCTGCGTGCGGTGCTTAGCTTATATACGATACACTACAGATCATTACAATTGCGATGTTAAAAATATATTTATATAGCAATTTTATTGTGACACGTGATATTTCTTAACAAATAAAAAAAAACTTTCGGTAGGATAATTTTTATTTGTCCGCTACCGACTTTCGGTAGGCTATCCACTGCGTATATATATATACATATATATATATATATATATATATATATATATATATATATATATATATATATATATATATATATATATATATATATATATATATATATATATATATATATATATATATATATATATATATATATATATATATATATATATATATTATTATTATTATTATTATTATTATTGCTATTACTGAATTTAACATGAATAAGCATTTACTTTGTATATAATTACTTTACCTTTTGTGTTAACACCCTTGAATTTGTAAGAAAACTTCATGTGGCTTATCAAATTTTATAGAATAGGCTATTCTAACTTTATAAAACGTCAATGACCCACATCAAATTTTATTGTGGCACAATTAGATAACTTACGATGCACTACGTAGTCCTCGACTTCTAGACCTAAAGTTAACACCACCTTGAATGCAGCAGTACTTTACTTCATAATAAACAAGAGATTCTTTGAGCTGTTTTGAAAGTCTTTTTTTAGCTGATAATATTTTTCTGATATCTCTTTTCCATAATTGAACAAAATTCAGATTTTCATATTCCTTTATAAAATTTTGCAGTGATGCAAATGAGTCAAATTTTTGATTTAAATAAAAACTTGCTGAATTAATAGCCTCCATTTTTCATATGTACAATATAAGTAAATGTTAGATTTTCAATTAACTTATAATAACTTTTCAACTAATGTAAATTTATGCAATTCAACGATATCAATAACTTCAAGTGTTAATTTTACCGATTTCTTTAACTTTCCAATCAATCGACCAATCAAGCTTCACAGCCGTGACTAAATAAACTAACTAATCAGATTTCTCTGGAGAAACTATAAATTAACCAATCAGAGCTCACTACCGTAACTTTAAGGAATGAAATTAAAGCAACGGTACCGTTGCGCGATCGACAGCGAAATTATTTATCTGGAATGACTAAAGGCGAGTTTCCACTCATCCGTTTTTTAACGGGAACGGGATAGGAAAGGAAAAAATAATCACGTGAGCATGCGTAACAAAAGTTTTTATTTGTCCGAAAGTAAACTGCGAATGCTCACGTGATTATTTTTCCTTTCCCTTTCCCGTAGAAAAACGGATGAATGGAAACTCACTTTTAATTGGACGAATTTGTTTCCATTGTTATGATGAGGGAAATGCTAAATCTACAAAAAAAACGATTTTATATTTTTTTCGAGAATCCATCTCAAGCATAAATCAAAAGTTTGATAATTTTCAAACGAGTTCGTCGCGAACTAGACAAAATAAAATCAGAATTGAATTTCGTTGATGATGTATGCGAAGATAAAGTTAAAGCAGTGGGCGAAAAAATAAATAAAGTTTGTGAAGATTTAACTAATGTCAAAAAAATGCAGGGGAAAATATCCTCGGACAATACTGAACTAAAACTTAAGAGCGTAGATAATGAAGATCGAAACAGGCGAAATAATCTAAGAATCGATGGGGTTATTAAAACAAGCGAAGAAAAGGATTGCGATATAACTAAAGAAAAAATAAAGCAGCTTTTTAACGTACAACTTGGAATTGAGAAACATATTAAAATTGAACGAGCCCATCGAGTTGGGCTCGCTAAAGTAGAACGAGAGCTATCAATTTGCTGACTCCAAGATAAGTTTTCATCTATTTTGACTCCTAAAAATTTTGTAAATTTTTCTCTTTTTATGATTGTATTGTCAATGAATAGGTCGGGTAAGATCGGCTTTGTCCAAAACATGGAGGACTTCTTCAAAACATGGAGGACTTCTTCAAGAGCTATATTTATTACTGGCCTTTAAAATGTTGTATAGTATATTTTCATTTCATTTGCAAAGATCTAAAAATTTCGGTTTTTTAAAAAACTCTTGCTTTTTATTTTATATTTTAAAATTGAATATTTTTTTCGTTTGCAGGGCAGACGACACCAAGGGAGGGCCAGAGGAGTTTGTTACCCCCCCCTGCTTTTTTTCTAAAGGTTTTTTTTTTTTAAAGAAAATTCTAGATATAGAGAACTTTTGTTACAAATTGACAATTGTGCCCGCCCACCCCTACTTCGAAACCGTGTCATCGGCTTTGGTTTGTTTATATTTTATTTTTACTTTTTTATTGAAAATAAACTTTAGAATTTATTATCTTTATTTTTTATTTTTTCAATTGTTTTGTATTTATATTTGACAAAATTAAATCTTACCCGACCTATTCATTGACAATACAATCATAAAAAGAGAAAAATTTACAAAATTTTTAGGAGTCATAATAGATGAAAACTTATCTTGGAGTCAGCAAATTGATAGTATTTCAATGAAAGTTGCTAAAAACATTGGAGTTCTATACAAAGCTCGATATGTACTAAATAAAAAGCAACTAACTCAACTATATTATTCATTTGTTCATTGCCATATAAACTATGCCAATATTATATGGGGAAGCGCTCACAAAACCAAACTTAAATCTCTCTATCGGCATCAGAAACACGCAGCTCGCATAATTAATTTTGGAAATCGTTTTTCAAGCTCAACACCACTTCTTATAGAAATGAAAGCTTTAAATATATACGAACTAAATATTTTTAATATTTTATGTTTTATGTTTAAATGTAAAGAAAATTTATTTCCAAGTGTATTTATAAATCTCTATAATTTGAAACCAAAAAACAAATATGAACTTCGTGATAGTAAAAATATTCAAGAGCCGTTTTGCAAAACAAAAATTGACCAGTTTTGTATTTCTTATCGTGGTCCATTTCTTTGGAATAAAGTAGTTTTACCTAACTTTGATTTTTCTTTTAAATGGTCTTATTCCTCCTTTAAAAAGAAAACAAAAGAAATAATCTTTTCAACACAAAATATATTTATTTATTTTTAGTATTTCAAGTTATTTGATATTTTTGTCGACTGTGTAATGAATATTATTTAAACAATATATGCTGAATACTTTATATTATAATATTGTTCAATATTGAGAATGTTATATATCCATATTATAAAATATTATGTTAAAATTTGCTTAACATCTGAAGAATATTCTAACGCTTATGTAATTTTTAATATTTGTAAATTTTCTACCTTTTAATTCGTTATATAGATTGTAAAGGGTTTCATGATAAGATCATGTGATCTTCTGGAAGTCCTACCAGTAATAGGTAAAGTAGGGTTATTTCGGCGTATTAAGCTATTTTGCTGTTTATAGACAACGGTTGCTTTAATAATTTTAAAAAATCATGCATATCGATACACTGCAGATGTATCTATTAAATAATAGTTAAAAAATTGTTTCCAACTTACAAAGTTTTACGTAAAACCTGTTTTACAAAATACTCAAAAATGACGAAATTAGCGACCTAGTATGGTATTTTCGGCACTATGGTACGATAAATTCGGCATAGTTATGAAAATTAAGAAGTTTGTTGAAAACGCATTAATATATTTAAAATATTATAAACAGCTATAAATCTGGATTGTATAAAGAATTGTCTCTTAAATAGAATTTGTTACACCTAATTGGCACTTAATTAAGGGCGTTTCAGTTGCAAAAAATAATAATTTTTGAACCACCTATTTATTTTATTAAAGTATGAATGTCATGTATTTTTAAAGTAAGAATGTCACCTTTTTTATTAAGGTATGAATGTCACCCAAAACAGAAACCTTATTAAATATAAATGTGCTTCCAAAGTATAATTGTTAATGAAACGATTACTAATTTCTACGATTTCGATGATTATTTCTAAATTCTGTTTAAATAAGAATTTATGTTTAAAAGCTCATAAGTAGTTCATAAAATAATATTTTACATAACTTCAATAGTTAAACTTAAAAAAATAAAAAACAAAACTCAAAGGAAACTTTTTTAACAAGAGATTTATTTAAGAAAGTTAAAACACATTTTATCAATATATGACATATAACTTTTTTTTTAAGAATCAGTGCTTTATACAGTCATCACAAGTAAATACTTTTTTAGTATAAACACCACATATAGCAGCACATGTTTCATGCCACCATCTACAGCATTTAAGGCATTTATCCCAATTATCTTTTAAATAAGGATCGACAGGATCACCATAACTGTATTGACACTTTGCACAAAGTTGTTTATTAATCGCACCTTTAGCATCAAGGTTTTTCAAACACGTCTTTTGATGAGTAGATATACTTTTTTTAATGCACTTTTTACGTGGCTGTCTGTTCTTATATTTCAAGTTTAAAGATTCCTCTAGCTGAGATTTATATAGTGATCTAGTAATTTTTTCAGCATGATTTACCCTCCTTTTTATACCTGTTCGCTTTGCATTTTTAATGTCAAGTCCAGCTAGTGATCCAAATGTAACACCATAAGGTTGTGAGGTTTCATCGTGTGAGGTGGCTAATTCTGATGACTTCTGAAGTGTAAATGATGAATTTGGTGAAATAGATTCAAAATAAAAATTATTTAACTAAAGAGGGTGAATAAAAATAGGCAACATGCAAATATAAAATAAAAAATAGTTAAAATGTTTTTGAAAAATTTGAACTTTCTTTAAGAAACCTTTTTTTAGGTAACAGATAATGCAAAATATTAACAGATAAGTTAATATTTTGCTTGATTTTAAAAAAGTCATATTTGTATTTTAAATAAAATGCGGAAGATGTTAAAAATAATACAACATTTATGACGATTTACCTTTTTGAGTGTCAATAACACAATCTGTAACAAAATCAATATTATCTAATTCTTTAGCAGAGTCTAACCCATTGTTGAGAGTAGGGTGCATTTCAGAGGTATTATTTGGTTTTGAAATTTTTGATACAACATACGAGTGATCAGTAGCCTTGGCTGCAGCAAAGTCTTCTTCAGTAAACACATTTCTATCAAATGGATATATTCCACATTTTTTGAACCCTGACTGACAATTTTGAACAGTTGCAGCTTTCCCATAGGCTTTTCCAAATAATTCACCAACCTCTAGTTCAGTTACGGGACGACCAGGATGGTGACGAAGCCAAGTACTAACCTCCTGATCATAGAATATTTTGAGGCTTTTAAAAAACGAAACATCAAGTGGTTGCAGTTTGTGGGTGCAGTGGGATGGAAGTGATAAAATAATAACATTTGAGTGGCGCGCTTTTTTAATAACACTAAGATTTTTTTTATAACTTGAATGTCCATCTAAAATTAGAAGAACTGGTTGGTTTCTTGACTGAGGCTGGACTGCTTGTAAAAAATGATCAAACCATATTTCAAACAACTCAGTTGTTATCCAGCCATTTTTGCTGCCACCAGAAATAGAACCTATTGGGGCTTTATCTAAAAATTCAGGTTTCACTCGAATACGTGGATAGATCAACATCGGAGGGACAAAAAAACCTGCTTGCTGATTGGCAACAAACTATTCTGATTGTTTTACCTCTTTCGGAGCTTGTTAAGCCACCAACACTGTGTTTTCCCTTAAGAGCAACAATTTTTCCTGGTTTATGGCAAATAGACAATCCAGATTCATCTACGTTGAATAAGTTTGATGGTGGAATAATCTGCATTCCATTAGCATTAAACGTTATTTTTTCTAGTTCATCGTAAAAACGATTAACTTTTATTCTATTAAAACCAATGGCTCGATGCAATGACGTTGACTCAGCAACTCTGACAGAGAGTTCATTATGGCGTTTCAAAAAACCCCTAAACCATTCTTTTCCTGCTGACTTAGTTTCACAATTAAATTTGTGAATAATTCTATTTTCTTCACAAAACTGGAATACCATTTGTTTTACATCTTTTGGAGACAAACCAAACAATCTCTGTGACATGGTCAGAAGAACTTCTACGAGCTCTTTTTCTTGAAAAGCTGAGAGTGTTGTTGGGTGTCCTGCACGTAACTTTTTAACAAAATTATCAACAGGTGCTCGTTTTATATAGTGATGTAGTGATTGTCTTGGTATTTTATATTGTTTATCAGCAGAATATTTCGAGCAACCATCAACTAAAACTGCACTTACTGCCATTTTTAATGATTCTTGTAACCAATTACCATATTTTACACGTTTTGAACTCATTATATGCTGTAAAATTATGTTTACATATATCATTAGATGGTGTAAAATTATGTTTACATATATATATATATATATATATATATATATATATATATATATATATATATATATATATATATATATATATATATATATATATATATATATATATATATATATATATATATATATATATATATATATATATATATATATATATATATATATATATATATATATATATATATATGTAAACATAATTTTACAGCATCTAATGATATATTTATAATCAAATGATATATCTAATGATAAATATTTAATAAATGATATATAACATCTAATGATATATCTAATGATAAATTTATAATTTGTTATATACAATAATTATTATTGTATATAACAAATCATTTATTAATTATATACATACTGTTGAATATTATTAAATAATATACATATAATAATAATAATAATAATATATATACATTTATATAAATATATATTATATATTTATATAAATGTATATATATTATTATTATTATTATATGTATATTATTTAATAATATTCAACAGTATGTATATAATTAATAAATGATTTGTTATATACAATAATAATTATTGTATATAACAAATTATAAATTTATTATATACATATTGTTATGTATGACATAAATTTAAAATATATTGTGGGGAACTATTATTTTGATAAGTTTCACAGTGACACTAACTAAATTCACTTTTTTACTAGCTCGTTATTAGTTTACTATTATCTGAGTTACTAAAATCAATTTCTTCTATACATAATATTTAAAACGTTTATTTCCATTTTAGTTTTGGAGAAACAACAGGTCGGCAAATTCGGCACTGCCGAAATTAAGAACTATTTATAAGCCGAAATTATCTCCTTAAAGCAGTCCTAGGGGAAACTCTTATATCTTGTAAAATACTTTGAGTTTAATTTTATTGTTGCTCACATTTTGTTCAGTATATATTTTTGAATGAAATAAATACAAATTTTTGGTAGAAATTTTCGGAAAAAATCATTTATCCTCTATTTTCAAAAAGGAAAAAATGTTAAGAAAAACCTAATAATCATAAAATAACGTACCTATAATGTAAAAATAGAAGTTTAAACTAATATTTTTAGAAAAACTGTTTATCTTTCTATAATACTCAATTATAGTTTTGATATTTCATTAAATAAATATTTTTAGGTGTCTTTTGAAGTGGTGCCGAAATTATCTCCCTGCCGAAATTACCCTACTTTACCCTATATTCAATGTAAATTTACCTTGTTCATATTTTTCTGGAAAAAAAAAAAAAAAAAAAAAAAGAGCGAACAATTGTTCTAAAGCTTCGTGATTATGAAGATAAAAAAATATTCTTAGAAAAAGCAATGAAATTAAAAAGGAGCAATGTTTTTATAAATGAAGATTATAGTTTTACGACTCGTAAAATAATCATGATCTCTCAAATCTTGTTCAATGGCTTCGATCTGATGAACTTTCTCTTAACTGTAATAAAACTGAACTCATCATCTTTAAATCCAGTCTGACACCTATTAAAAAGCACTTAAATTTTAGACTAAGCAAACAGAAAATTTATCCTGTTGGATCTATCAAATATCTTGGTATTAAAATTGGTTCCAATCTTTCCTTCAAAAACCATCTAAATGACTTAACAATAAAACTCAGGAGACCTAATAGAATGTTGGCCAAAGTCCGCTATTATGTAAATTTAGAAGCTTTGCTTAATATATACCATGCTATTTTTGGGTTTCGTCTAAGACACGCATGTCAAATATGAGGACAATCCCAGAAACACAATTTCTCAAGGCTATCCCATCTCCAAAATAAAGCATTAAAAATAATATAAATTCAATCTAATAACTTTAAATCTAGTGTGCTGAAGTGTATTTCCAATATACTAAAATTAAGTGACCTTGTTATATTCCTTAACTGTTAATTTGTCTGGAAATCATTTTGTTCATAAATCATTTTGTTCATAATAAGATTTATATCTATATCCAAAATTTATAACAAGCTGGTAAAATGATTTTTATACTTTATTTTGTACTTTTTTTTTGTTCTTAACTACACTTGTATTTATCAATAAATTTTAAATTTCATAGAATAATCTCTCAGCGTTCAAAAATTATGACCATATAAAATTTGTAACACGCCTGAATTGAGGGGGTTTCAAACTTTATTCGGTCATAATCTTTGAACGCTGAAACATTTTACTATGAAATTTAAAATTTATTGATGAATATAAGTCTAGTTAAGAATAGTACAAAGAACATTTTATCAGCTTGCCAGCTTGTTGCTTTTACGTTTTAAGAATAGTACAAAGAATAGTACAAAGAACATTTTACCAGCTTACCAGCTTGTTGCTTTTACGTTTGGGGCTGGGGGCAATAATTTTTGGGGTTTGGTCCTATCATCGCAATTTTTTTGTAAAGCATAACATAAGTATAAGCATATAAATATTTAAGTTTGCTCCATGTCTGGAAGTTATTTACCTCAAGACCAAAAAATGCTGGATCCGCCCCTGCTTTCTTTACATAAAACTGTAATGTTGCATAAAAAAAAAAATTAGTAGAAACCCTTTTTAAATTGAAAATAGTTGTTCTTAAGCGGGTCTAGGGCCATCAAAATCTTTATTGAATTAAAAGAAAAAGGGGCGAATCTTAGCCATATGTATTCAGATTCTCACAAAAATATAAAAAGTTTGATAAAAGTCTTGTGTGTGCTATAATTTCTTAGTCTAAAAAGTAGTCTTCAACCGCATTTTTACGTAAAAAATGAGTTTTTATAATTAACTTACATTAAACTTTGAAAGCATGTTTAATATCTTTCCGATTGATATATAGTATATGGAAATTTACAGGTATGGTTCAAGGAATAAAAACAAAGTTTGAAATCACTTTTTCACTAAACAATTTTTCTTCTAAAAGTGATCACTTTAGGCAGCTGCAGAGAAGCGTCAGGTGACGTCATTTGCGTCAGGTAGTCTAAAAAAATCTTTCCAGATAATGAAAGTACAATCAATTTGCAGTAGTCTTGCATAGTCTAATTTTTTTATATTGTATTTTTGCAAATTTGGAATTTATGCCCCTTTTGATTATTTCAATCACTTCGCACTGACTGTTAAACGGTATCACGATGAAACTAGATATGCAGCTTCTTTCCATGAGATCCCTGAAAAAAAATTTGAGATAAATATCTTCAATATTGTGCTTGATCATTCAACACATTTAATTGAGGTTTAACATTGTGGAGATTGCGTTATCAAGATTTTGAATTATCTTTTTAAATAAACAAGAAAACCGGCTTCTTAAAATGTAGAAATAACTAACGCACTTCTATTCTAATGATGTCATAGACGAAAACTATATGAAAGATATTTTCAATCTCAATGGTTTGTATAACTTTTTGTTTTTTATTTCTGGAAACTCATTAATTCTTCTTAACTAAATATACTATAGCCATACTAATTCAAATTTTTAAAACAAACCATTATATGTTACAGAGGGTGGACGACCCTTAAGAAAATTAAAAGTTATATAAAAAAGCATTTGTATATGCATTGTAAAGTTATTATAGAACAACAACGCCCATTGGACACTCTAGTTGAAAATGGATTGACACATTTTTTGTTGTGGGATGGCATAATTTTTGTCATCCTACAATATTCATAAAATCAATATTCATTCAATTATATTAATAAGTTTTACATGTAAAAAGGTAAGAAAAAAGAATTTTATTTTTCAAAGAATCTGTCTAATAATCCTACTCAGTGCATGTTATATATATATATATATATATATATATATATATATATATATATATATATATATATATATATATATATATATATATATATATATATATATATATATATATATATATATATATATATATTTCTTACTATTTAGTTATGTATTTTATCTAAATACACAAATTTATTCCATTTTTTTTAAACTTTTTGAAAAAATTGAATAATATTAGGTTGACCGGAAAGTAATGTCGTTTTTGCGCATGTTGACATTCGATAATCGTTGGCCAGTTTATTGTGTATCTCGAACACGTGCACAGGTTATTTTTATATTAGTGTGACTTGTTTACTTCTAAATTATTTAAAATTAAATAGTTTTCTTTGCAAATTGGAGTGAAATGGCATACGAAATACAGGAAGTGCATATTCGTCATTGTATGCTTTTTGAATTTCGCAAGGGTAATAACGCTACAGTTGCGACTAAGAACATTAGTGATGTTTACCCAGGTTCATTAGATGTTCGCAAATGCCAAAGATGGTTTTCCAAGTTTAGATCTGGGAATTTTGATCTTTCTGACGCCCATCGACCAGGAAGACCAATGTCATTAGACAACGACGTTCTAAGGGCAGAAGTTGAAGCAAATCCATGCCAAACCATCGAAGAATTGTCGAACACCCTTAACCAACCTTGGTCGACCATCCAAGAACATTTACACCAGATAGGAAAAATCAGCAGAGCAGGTGTTTGGGTCCCCCATAACTTGTCAGTGCAAAACAAAGCCAACAGATCAACCACGTGCAATGCATTGATTCAACGGCACCATGCAGAACCGTTTCTTGATCGTTTGGTCACTGGAGATGAAAAATGGGTCCTAAACAATAATCCAAAACGCAAAAGGCAGTGGCTCTCCCCAAATAAACCAGCACGCAGTACTGCAAAGCCGGGATTACACCCCAAGAAGGCGCTCCTGTGTGTTTGGTGGAGCATCCGCGGAATCGTCCACTTTGAAGTGCTTATTCCTGGACAAACTGTTAATGCGGACCTTTATTGTCAACAATTGGATCGAGTGAACCAAGCTCTAGTTGAGAATTACCCGGCTATCGTCAACAGAAAAGGTGTCATTCTTCAACATGACAATGCAAGGCCGCACTGTGCACGACGGACGCTAGAAAAAATTAATGAATTGGGATGGGAGGTGCTGCCCCACCCTCCATATTCACCTGATATCGCCCCTTAAGATTTTCATTTGTTCCGATCCTTACAACACTTTCTAAGTGACAAAAAATTTCAAACTTTGTACTGCTTAAAAAATGGCATCTCCAGATATTTTGATGACAAACCAATACATTTTTTTCGATCTGGTATAGAAAATTTGCCCGCTAGATGGCAAAAGGTTGTGGAAAATGAGGGTGATTATATCATTGATTAAAAATAAATATTATAAAAAAATTATTTGTTTTAATTTGACGTAAAAATACGACATTACTTTCCGGTCAACCTAAAATAATAATAAAATACTTTTTTTTTCCTTATTTCTGTTTTGTGTTATACTACAGTGTAGGTGAGAAAAATGTTAACTACTGTAATAAAATTATTACTGCAAAAGTGATTAAACAATATACAGTCAATGGTACAGATAAATATTTCAGTATAAATTTTGTTTTTAAGTTTAATACATGTCGATATATTTGTTGATATTAAGAATGAGGTGTTTTAATTTATTTTTCAAGTTTTATATTTTTGGATTTTATTTTGTTATATAAGTACGCACCCCGGTAGAAAATAGAAAACCGTAAGAACTTTGTTGTTCTTTTAGGCAGTGTGAACATGCCTGTTGCTCTTGTTATATATCTATTAGAGTTAACTTGAAAGAAGTTATCTAAAAAATGCGATGTGACTAGTCCAAGTTTGTATTTAAGTATGAATAGTAAATTTTGGTAGATATTGATTTGGTAAACATTTAGTGCATTCAAGGTTTTTAGTAAGGGTTCAGCATTGGTAAGTTTATCTTTATTATAAACTAATTTTGACGCATGTTTTTGAATTATATAAATAGTACTCATTTTGGATTTGTGTGTACTTGTCCATGTAATATTAGCGTAGGTAAGATAAATTTGGATGTAAGAAAAATAAAGTAATTTAAGATTATGTTGGGGCTACATAGGTTTAACTTTGTAGAGTATGGTCATGCATTTTGTTTTTGCTTCATATTTACTCTATACTTTGATATCTAAATCCATAAATAAAGCACATCCAATTACCTCCGCGCCAGTTACCCATGTCGCATCTTCAAGCATTTTAGTTTTATAAATATGCGTTTGAATTGGCATATTCAAATATCCCGTTATACCATCCTCTATTTTGTTACCCATATGGTTAACAATTTGTTTGTAACTGGCTTATTTTCAACCTCATTTCCATAAAACAAACTGGTCCAAAAAAGCAGTTTCTATCTCCTTAGGACAAAAAGTTAGGTTGATGTTACTACGGCGACATTGTTTTATTTTAAACAACTCCTAACTTTTTTGAAATTGATTTTCTTATATAAAAAGTTGTATATTTTGCGCTTTTTTTTATTTGAAACATTTACTCTGCTTTCATTATGCATTTGTTAAGACATAGAACAAATAAACTCGTAAAAATAAAAGCCGATAATATAAAACAAATCAGATTGGTTATTATTAGCAAACCGAAAAATTTTTTATTTAATGGTATTTGATTTATGCAAACAAAGAATTCGAATTGAAAGTAATTTTTCTATAAAGTTTACCGGCTCTGTTTTTTAATTGTTTACGCATTCTGAATGGAATAATTTATTATTTTCAGATGACCGAATAAGTCCCGAGTATTTCAAAAAATGATACTAAATACTAATAACAGTTTTTAAATGGGGCTAAAAGTTATGATCAATAATGCAAAAACGACTTTGGTAGAAAAATTAACACTACCATAGATTATCTAAATCTAACGAGACATTATTGTTAAATATACTCATTTAGGTGTGGTATTGAAAATAATAACTTCAATTTTCATAAAAGAATGGTTTTTCATGGATAGTTTTCCCAAATAATGTCTGAAAAGAAATGTCAAGTTACATTCATTGAAAACAAACACCAATACGTGCTTTTATGAAAAAATCAAATTCATAGACTTATCTATATAGCCAAGCCTTAAGGTACTTTATGTTGAAAATTGCATCTTTTCTAAATAAAACTACGATTTGTTGTAGTCGCATTACTTTTACCAGATTATAATCTTTCCATACATACCAAATATATCATACTTTTTGATGAAAAAACTTACATATACTGCAATTGAAAAAACTTATATTTTTGTTCGGAAAAACATGTACCATGCCTTAGTTGCATTGAGATGTTAACTATTATCACATGTGTTGCTTATCACATGACGTCTTTGATAATTGGTTCAGTTTTAACATTATCATCGTTTAATGATTTTAACAACATATATACCACTGCATTAATAGATTACGATGGTTTTAATAATTTTATTTAAACGCTCGCTTTTCAAGAAACCGCATTAATTAAAACGTTTAAAAATATTCACAAAGTACAAGTGGTTTGGTTGCAAAAATACATTTTGCCGCAAAATATTTTGTGGCAGTAAAAATCTCATAATGAGAGTAAAAATTTAACATGCGATTTTTACTGGGCTATAAAAATTTAATATGAGAATTTTACTAGAGTAAAAAAACGCGGTAAAATAAAAATCTCATACTATACCAGTAAAATATATTAAGCGACTGGCTAAATATATAGGCCGACGACACGGGTTTTGAAACGGGGGGGGGGGGGGCACAATACAGCGCCGACGATACGGATTTTGAAGTGAGGGGGCACAATCATCAATTTGTAAAAAAAGTCATTTTATATAAATATTCAAAATAAAAAAAAGGTTCTTTAGAAAAAAAGTGGGGGGGGGGGGCACGTGTCCCCTGGCCCCTCGGTGTTGTCGGCCCTGCAGTCCACCACTGATCTTGTTTTTAAAAAAAGCAATTCGACAATTTTATGTTCATCTGGAGATAAAGAATATCTACGTATTTACTGCTTTTAATAATTTGCTAACAGCAGATCAAGAAAACAGCAAATTCAATAACAGGTTTGCAAATAATAGACTTAATTTTGTTTGTGAAACCTATTTTTCATACAAAATTAAAATAACATTTTTATAAACTCTTATTATATTGTAAGTTGTGTTTTAAAATAAAATAAATATGAATTAATTCCAGTATTTACCATTTCTTTTATTTATATTAAAATTATTTTTGTGTTTAAACTGTTCTAAAAATTTAATCTTAAAGTTAAATTAAAAATAAGTAGTATTTAAAAAAAAAGCTCGTTATAATCCAAACATGTCAATCCTCTACAAACAACCGATGCTGTCCTCTACAAACAACCAATGCTGTCCTCTACAAACAACCAATGCTGTCCTCTACAAACAACCAATGCTGTCCTCTACAAACAACAAATGCTGTCCTCTACAAACAACCAATGCTGTCCTCTACAAACAACCAATGCTGTCCTCTACAAACAACCAATGCTGTCCTCTACAAACAACCAATGCTGTCCTCTACAAACAACCAATGCTGTCCTCTACAAACAACCAATGCTGTCCTCTACAAACAAGAGAGAAAAAAAAAATTAAATAGTAATAATAATAGTAATAATTACAAAAATAATAATAATAATTAATGTATTTGAATTTAAAAGTGTTGTAATTTAACATAAACTTTTTTGCAAAGAAAAAGTAAAAAAACAAAAAAAAACATAGCAAAGCAAGATACAAACAAGTGAAAATGTAAGTAATAAAAAATATTTAAAAAATGTTAAAAAATGTTTTATTTGAAAAAATTATTTCTTGTAACAACTATGGGTGCATTTACTTTGTTACTTTTAACTATACTGCAATTATTAAATCAATTGTTTCAAAACTGTATTCTTTAAACTGTAGTCTCTTTTTTTACTACGAACTTTGGTTGTTCTAATTGTATTTGTTTATCAGCAATTTCAGAACTTTCATATTTGACATATCTTTTTAATTCGTGGTTAATTTTATCTCTTTCGGTCGTGTAACTGAAAATTAAATTTAATAGCGTTTCTTCTTGTAGTTTTTCTAAGTCTTTTTGCTTGATTTTTCTTTCGTATATCATTCTTAGACCATCATAAGCATCTGCTTTAGTAAACTCACCGTGTCTGCTTTCTTCTTTTGCCAAGTTAAATATATCCTCAATAAATGATAAATCGTCTTTTGTATGATTGGTTTCATCAATTAGGATTTTGAATTCTTTAATATCTATATCTTTATCATAGAGTTTTAACAAAGTGTAACCCAAAGTGTTTCGTACAGAAGATTTTTTCTTCGGTAAAATTACATCTAATTTTTTTATGTTTATTATGCCGAATGATTGGTCATTACCAATAAGTTCAAAAAAATTATTGGCATACTTTATACATTTATCCCTATCTTTGGTAAGCCTTATGAGTTGTAAATAACATTTTGTTAACTGTTCGCTACAATCTATTTGGTTATACTCATCTGTAGCTGGAATAACCATTTTATTTTCCCCTATACCGGGCTTATATCCTTCTTTGTACTCTTTGAAATCACTTTTTAGTTCTTTATAAGACTTAATGATATCATTTAATTTCTCGATTGCTTTTTCAAATTCTCCATTTTCTATATCTTGTTCTACTAACGATTCTCTCCTAACGACTCCCAGTCCTCTTCCTTCACTTAGATATCCTTCAAACAGCATTAACTTCTTTCCTAAATACTTAGATAATTCGAAATATGGTATTGAGTCTGCTTTTTTTCCATGATACAAAAATGTTCTGGCTAATAAGTAGACAGTAATGGTATATACTTCCGGGAATTCTTTTAATGTCAAAAGCTCAGTATAGATTTCTTCTTTTTTGGAGGTCTCAAAATCAAAATGGACTTTGCTTATATTTATTACATACTGCTCTAATAATTTTTTTGAGCCAAGTAATATTTCGCGTGCATTTTCTCCGCCGTGGTTGTTGTAAAGGTAACAATTTGCTAAAGCATTCATACAATACACGCTATTAATTAAATGTTCAGCTTCTATTTTATCAAGTTGTTCTTTTATGTCATCTGTACTAAGTTTACTTAATTTAGTCATTTGGCTTGCTAGCTTTTTTGTTTTTTTAATAAGATCTCGGTTTTTATAACCTTCTTCTTTCATAACATTGTTAGGAGAGCAGCTCTTTACCCATTCTTTAGCATCTGCCTGCATTTTTAAAATTGTGTCCTCAACAAGCATATTTCCTAACAATACTTTTTTGATTTTTGTATTTTTTTTAAGCATAAAGCTCATTTGATCTTTTAGATCTTCTACAGTGTAATCTTTAGATATTATTATCATATTTCCACTATTTAAATCCAAACAGTATTTATTTTTTAGGATCGATAACTCATTAACAACATCCTCTGATAAATTACTCATTGTAAAATCTAACTTGGTTAATTTCTTTAAATACCATTCAAGGGTTCCTTTTGTTTTTGGAATACTAGCTTTATTTAGGTTGACTTCATCTCTATCAATCTTATAATGAGCTTTGTATTTTAAAAAAAACTTTTTTTTTTCTTTTATAATTTTTTCTTCATGGTTAACTAAATCAATTGTATTTTTGTCTAGTATTTTATAAGTTTCAAACAACTGAGTCAGTTTCATATTTCCGCCTAAAAATTCTGCTGTAACTGTAGCCAATAAACCGTAAACAGTGCTTGGTATTAAAGTAAATATGGTTTTACTTGCAGCTTTCTTTAGCAATTTCGGAATCATAAATGTTCCTGGAATCAGATCTATTATTGCTTCAATAGCTTTTGGACCATAGTCACTGGTATTAGATTTATATTTTATGCACGGCCAATCAAATACTTCTCTATATTGCTTAATAAAAGGTTTACCAGTTTTAGGATCAAATGTTTTTAGCATTAAATTTAAACTATGATGAGTAATTGCAAATAATGCATCAAAATAACCTTTTATGGCAGAATACTTTTTTATAAACCATTCTGGTAAACGGGTTTTAAATCTCTCAACTGAATTGGATTCTATTATTTCTGGAAATACTCTATAAACTTTACCTACATGTTCGTGACATACATTAATTAAGTTTGGAGCCGATAGATATGTAACCATACCAAAGGATGAAACATCAATTTGAGTATCTTGATTAATTATACTCGCTTTATAACTTTCCAATTGCTGATAACTGCCAGGACTATTAAAAGTTACCGACTTTACGTGACCTGTTATTACATCACATTTAAAATCCATGTGACAAAAATATAAGCTTAGCTCCGCCAGCCATGCACCAAATGAGTGACCCGTTAGTGAAAGGTTATATCCGAGTTTGTGAGCAATTTTTACAGCATCTTCAGTGGCTATATACGAACTTATTTGATGGTAATCTATTTTTTCTTTAAGGACTTCTAAAATAGCTGCTTTAACATTACCATCCCAACTTTTTAGAGATTCTATTACGTCTACGCCACAGTAGGTTAACACAGCTTGTTTTGTTGTATCATTTACATACAAAACACAGTCAACATTATCTGAATTTTTATAGCTAAATTTTTTATAAACAGTCCAACAATTTAACTGGTCATTATAATCAGCACCATCAAATTCATCATCAACCTTATCATTATTTGGAATAAATTGTACAATATCCCCCTCCTTACTTTCTTGATAAACGTGCAAGCAAAGTAAACCGTGCACAAAATCATTTGGATGTTGTTGGAAACGGTGATCATCAGACATGGTTTTCTAAATGAATAAATAAAAATATCTCCTAAATGTTAAATATTATCTCCCAAATGTTAAATGTTAATCTTTTTATTAGTTAACAATTCAAAAAAACTTATATATAAAACTAATTATGAAAATTATTTCAAAAATTTCATAAAAAAAATAGTTTTAAAACGAAAAAAATTACGCATTTTTTTTTAGGTACGTTCCCCTATGGTGATTCAGAGCTATATTTTTTTTTTCACTTTTTTCTAGTATTGTTATCGATTTCGACTAAATTGACTAAATGTCGACTAGTCGAAAGTCGAAATTAGTCGATTATGAAAAATCAAATAGTCGATTTAATCGACTTTAGATTTTCTACTAATTGACTAAAAGTCGATTTAGTCGGGTCCTAAAATTCTTATCTTTATCTCTTCGTTTGATTTAACTTTGTCAATATCTAATTTTATTATGATGCTGACCAATTAGTAAAGATATATCCTTATAAGTAGATTATTTTATAAAGATAAAATATTTGTAAAGGTTGAGCCATGCACAAGATCATTATTCATAGCTAGGTTTTTACCCAGCTATTAAAAATGATACGAGTATGAAATTTTCAACTAAAATATCTGAACACTGAACCTAATTTGCTGTTTCACATAAATTGTTGTTTGAAATCGATTTAGATTACATTAAAGCTTAGCCCAAAAGCCCATACTAGCCTATATTTAAAGGAGCAAATTTAGTTTTTTTAATTTTTTTAATTTTTTTTTACAAATAATTGTACAATTATGAATCTTGCTATCAAATTCAAAGATAATTTTAATGGAAGATGTGAGGATTTTCTTAAAATTGAAAAATTGTACGCAGCTACATATTTAGATACGCGATTTCGTAATTTTAAATTTATATCGAACAAAGCAGCGAAAATTTCTTGTATGAAAAAAGTTCTTTCTTTAGTTGTTTAGTAAAGCCATGAGCCTTCAGTTGTCTAGCCAAGAGTCGTCATCTAGTCAAAGAAGTCCATCAAAAAAAATATATATTGTTATGCGATGAAACAGTGTCATCAGAAGATTTGTTATCAGTAGACAATGATATCACCAATTATTTAAATATGAATATAAAAGTATCGGAAAATTCGTGTCCCTTTGCATTTTATAAAAATAGTTTATGTTAATTTTCCGTTTTGTCAAAGGCAAAGATGCTCTTTTTTATAACTGCTTCATCTAAAAAGTTATTTTCAAGTGCTGTCCAAATCATTACAGAACGGCGAAATAGACTTAAACGAAAAATGTGTCTTTTTAAACCAAGACATATAAAATGGTCAGTTATTTCAAAGTCATAACAACACTACTTCTTTCACCAAAGTTTTAGATTTTACGAAATTATTATTACTTTTGATCAAGTGTTTTGTTTTATTGCTTTTTGACACTGAATGACAAAACACAGTTTCTGAGGTGGTTTCTGACCACATTTAAAAAGCTTATTTCTAAATGTAGGAAAAAGTAAAAAAAACAAAAACTTTTCTTTTTCGTAAATAGTGGATTGGTTTTGTAATATAGATGTTGTTATCAACCCAGCAGTTTTAGTGGATTTGCAGTGGACCTATACTGGCGTTTTTTAGCAGTTAATTGGAGATTTTCTCATCGGTTACTTTGTGGACCATTAGTAGCAGCCCCTATAAATGGCAAGCCGATAACTTTCCAACATGTTAACAGCAGCTAGTCATAAGCTAGCCACTTGTAGCGGCTGTCTCTAACGGTCCACTAAGTAACCAATGAGCAAAACTACAGCGGTCCATTCAAAATGCCTATATAGGTTCACTTAAATTCCGTTATAGAATGTTTGCTTGGAATTTTCATTCAAGATTGTATGACAAAACCATTATGTTTAAAAAAAAAAAAAAGGTAACTTAAGTCAACTTTTTATGCACAATATTTAAGCAAAACCTTTAACTGCCTATTTTTTTATATCAGATTCTCACCAGTCTCAGAAAGTCCAGGAATTTGAAAAGGGAAAAGCAAAAGTTTCTGGATTTTGTCTAAGTTTAATTAATAATCATTGAAAAGTCCTAGAAAATAATTTTGTCAAAAATGTTTTTTTTATTTTAAATACTTTATAACTACGTATAAACAAGGGTTAAACATATTAAACCCATACTGTTATATAATATAAGGAGTCATCCATAAAGGACGCCACCATTTTTAAGGCAATTTTTGACCTTCTACGCCCCCTTCCTTTGTCACTGGTTGTCCTTTTTGCAATACCCCTTTAAAAAAGGTGTTATAAAATTAGGATTACCCCTCCCCCCTTTTATTTTTAAGAATAAAACCCGTTTCTAATTTAGGAATGTTTATTGACGTAATCAATACAGTCAGCCACACTTAAAAACTGATCGATCATCAGGCTTGAGAAGACCGAGGCACAGTTCTTTCCAGCAAATTCAATATTCTGTTTCTCTTACAGAAGATCCACTGTCTTAAATATAAGTTGCAATGAAGATAAAGTCTTGCTATATACACATTGCATTTTGATGAAGAATTGATATTAAAAATAAATTATTTTTAATATCAATTCCTTATTATTATATTAAAAATAAATTATTTTATTACTTTAATAACTGTAGCCGTCATGAAAATTTTGCTTTTTTAAAAATACCAAATTAGCGCGCGTTTTTTTAGGTCCGTCTGACCTCCTTGCGGCAACGCATTCCCACTGTATAGCTAAATTAGATTAATTATATGCGCGGGTAAGTTCTTAGCAATAGCGCATTTTAAAACAAGTAGTTGTGAAAACAGGTTTACATTAAGTTGCTTTTTCATTAGAACAAAAACTCAACTTTCAAATATAAAATCCTCCTCTGGGGGTTTATTGGCTTATCTTCGTAATAAATGTACATTTTAGTTTTTTTTTTGCCTTCATGTTATGTACACAAAATATATTTAACCACAATTGGTGCATATAAAACAACTCCTGTTTAGGTATTTTTGGAAGAAGTAAGTTTTGCACAAATTCAAAACAAAGCTGTATCATATATTACGATCATTTGGATTTCAACTACAATTTTTGTCTCTTATATTGACATGTGTTTGATTCCATAGCAATAGGCTGCATAACCTTGTAACTCGTTGTCAAGAAACACCATGCGTTTGTAAAAAAATATTAGAATTATAAAGATGCTGTTGAAACTGTTTCTGCAACCAGTAACGTATATAGCGTCATTCTTGAGCTAAGTATCCAAAACTTACCTGCACCTGAATATACATCGGTAGTTAATTCTTCGTCCTTATACATTTGCACTATGGCAGCGCAAATGTATAAGGACGAAGAATTCAGAATTCAGCCATTGGTTTACGTATAAAAAACACTAGGCACGTACCTATGGTTACAAATTTAGAAGGAGGTAAAATATTAGCATGTAATTGATATAGAAAAATTTAAATTTTCAAAAAACTGTTTTTCTGTCCTCTAGCAATGTTCTTTCGTGCGTATACAATAAGCTTTCCGCATTCGTTAGATAAAATTATTTATTTTTCAATTTTTTTGTGTGTCAAATATGCAATATTATACCTATATATACCTAGGTACATTACAGTTAAACACATTAACAAATTTAAAATAAAAACTAATAATATTTAATCTTTAAAAATAGATAAAGATGTTTTCCAGTGAAAAAATAATTTCTTTTCACTTTTGTTTAAAATAATTATAATCAAATTTAGGTATCAAAAATAATTATAATCAAATTTAGATATTTTATTTAACTATTTTATTCCATAGATATAGACCACGAAAAGAAATACAAAATTGATTATACTTGTTTCGACAAAATTGGGCCTTGAGATAATTATCAGTCCGTAAATATTTATTTTTGGGTTTTAAGGTGGTACATCCCCATTAATTTCGAAATTTTTTAGAAAAAACCAATTTTTTGAAAATTGGTTTTTTAAATTCAAAATTTTTTATAGAATAATATTATTAATTATTTTTTTAATAAATAAATAAGGAAGTGTGTACAATTATGTGTTTTGTGGCCATAGAAGATTGAGAAGTCCGTAGCAACGCCATAGCAACGCATTTTAAAACAAAAAAATTTAAACTTGCTCAAGCTTATTAACATCAAAAACTCTTTTCTACTGCAGCTTCTTGTTTGTTTTTTGCTTCATGTTTATTTTAAAAGCTATAACTTGAACTACTAATGCGAACATGTATCAAAATATTGTGCTTGCATGCTGTTTTAGTTTGTTAATGTTCTTATAGATAAATAGCTAAATAAGATATGGGACGTTCTATTGCTCGAACTAAAAAAAGAAAGTTTTCTTGTAATCAACACCTAAAATCTTCAAAGTTTTTTCAGCTTGATTCATCAATTTCCGATCCAAGTTTATCAGCAAGCTCCAGAAAACTAGTAAACACTAAAATAAAGTCAAAAAAATTACAATATCATTATTAACTTTAATATTATAAAACTAATGGTTAGTGAGTTTAAATGCCCTAAATGTGGAAATGAAGTTTGTTTGAAAATGACTTAAAAAGCAAGAACGGTTTTTGTTTTTATTTAACTTTACATTGCCTTTGTTGCCCATATAGCAAAGGATGGCACACGTCTCAGTTTTCAACTAAAAAATCTAAAAGTAATCCAGGTGTTTCTACTGTATCAGTTAATTTTCAAGTTGTTACTGCTTTTCGTGAAATTGGTAAAGGTTATCAATCTATATTCAAGTTTGCTACAGTAATGAACATGCCATCTCCTATGAATTTTAAAAATTATAGTGCAATTAATAACAACTTGTTAAAACATTTATAATGAAGTTGCTTCTGCAAGTATGTCAAGTGCTGCCAATGAAACCAAAGATATTATTTCTAATTCTAGCAATGTTAATGATGTTTCTGCTTACCAAGTTTCTGTTGATGGTACCTGGCAAAAGAGAGGCCATCAATCTTTAAATGGTATTGTCACTGCAATATCAAGAGAGATTGGAAAATGTCTTGATTCAATTTTGTTAACTAAGTTCTGCAAAGCTTGTAGTTAT